CCCTTTGTACGAACAAAAGTAAGAGAAATTTAGGATAAGAATACAAACATGTTCTTGCATGAGGCCCAATGACACTATTTATTTAGACAGTTTTCTCACTCATTCTCCATTTAATGTATAATTTTCCTGCATCTAAAAATCATTTCTGATCCCACAGAGAGGACAATCTGAGGAGAATCTCACACTCTGGACACATTTACTTCTATTTTAAATATTCAAATGGAGGCGTGTCAGGGGATGTGTCTCAGGTGCGCTCAGTTCCACGTTCATTGGGATGTATAAAGGAAAGGTGTGCAGATACCTGCGTGCGCACAGTTTTATACATCTGAAAATTTTGGTGTGGCGAATTTTCTAAATTTGCCCATCCGTCAACTTTTAGTGTGAAAACTGCGCAGTCTTTTATGCATAAGGCCCCTGAAACCTTCAGGATACTGGCTCTCCAGGACCAGGACCAGGGAACACTGATCCAGTGGTTTATCATAGCTTTTGCTAACAAACATGATTTCTCCAACAGTTAATGTTTTATAGTGCAGTATGAGTTGTGATCAACTCTCAGCTACAACATATGGGTGTTTACCTTTCAGTTTTTAGTGGCAGGCAAATTTTACACAGAGATCAGAGCAGAGCTCGGTCCAAGGTCCAGAACTCCAAGTCCACCAAGAACATTCAAAAAACCCAGCGCTCATGAACTCAACACCTTCCAGCAACATTCTGATCTGTTTACATCAGTAGAACCTGATTCTATCTGCTCCCACATGTCTGGGGGGTAAAATGCCACCAGCAGTGCTACATCTGGGCCTGTGACAGAACCAGAGACACCCTGTGTGAGTCCTGCTGCCTGCCTGGGTGGGTGGGGGAGGGGTGTAGGGCTTAATGAGATGTTGTGGATGGATGAGTCTGTTTGCGAGCTCTGCCTGTGGTCTCAGAGGGCATGTTTCTGCTCATATTTCCCAGGTTGCTGCTCAAAGCTGGCATCGACATGAACAGAGCCACCAAGGCAGGGACCGCTCTGCACGAGGCTGCCCTCTATGGGAAGATGGAAGTAGTGCAACTGCTGCTGGACGTAATGACAGCATTTATAAACAAAATAACATCATTTGACTTGTAGCTCTTCATTAAGACAATGAAATCATCTAATGAATGATGTGTTTGTGTGTGTGTTCAGGCTGGCATCAACGTGAACATACGCAACACATATAACCAGACAGCTCTGGATATTGTTAACCAGTTCACCACCTCTACAGCCAGCAGGGAGATCAAACAGCTCCTCAGAGGTTAGTGAAGTTCAGATTGTTGTTTGTTTGTAGTGAGAAGAAGACACAGTCCATTGAAGAGGACTTTTTATTGTTTTCTTTTCAGAAGCCTCGTGTTGTCTTCAGGTCAGAGCGGTGAAGGACTACTGGAACCTCCACGACCCCACAGCTCTGAACCTGCAGGCCGGAGATCTGATCATGGTAACTCTTTTATTAGGAAAGCCCCACAGTTTGTTGCGTCCCTCAGGTTAAGACCACAAAACTATATTTTCTTTTCATATTTATAAAAGTATTTAATCCTAATTTGTTTAAAAATTAATCTTATATTGATGTTGTGATCTGTGTCTGTGTTTTATTTTGGTTCTATTCTGGTTTTCTGTCTTGTCTTTCTCTGTTTACCCCTCCTGCTTGTCTTTGCTCCAGCCCCGCCTACTCTCACCTGCTCCTCATGTTTCTCTCCCAGGTGTTTCTTGTTTTCTCTCATTAGTTGGCCTTTATATTCTGTGTCCTGTCTTCAGTGTTTGTCGGATCATTGCGCTGTTCACAGCCTGTATGGTTTTCTTGTCCTTTGTGCTCTGTCTTGCTTCGCCACATTAAGTGAGTTTTTTTGTGCTGCCCGGTCATCCTTTCACATTATATTAAAGACTTTATTTTTGGCTTTTTGAAACTGCTGGTGCCCTGGGTTCTTTCCTGCCTAATCTTAACAGATGTTTCTTTTTTTCAACTTTCTTTTCCAAAATGAGGAAGTTTGTGTTTCTGAAGACTTGTCATAGTTGGTCATACAACACTGAACACGTGTTGTATTTGAACTCAGAAGCAGGATCCGTACCATTTGTTATTAGCATGTAGCATTTCATTGGACTGATGAAAGTAGGGCTGCACAATATATTGCAAATGTATCATCATCAGGCATATCGTAAAGAACTGTCAAACTGCAACAAATAATTGGCTCTAATGTTTGCTTTTATGCATTTTGTCAGCATCAGTCAAATAAACAAAATAGACCAGAGATCCTATCAAACCATAACCACTTTGTCAGTGGAAAAAACTGCAGTGAGAGAAACTGCAGTTGGATTTAGGTTTGTTAACATTGGTTTTTAATTCTATAACTTAAGGTTTTATTATTTATTTAAAAAAGGTGTTTTAAAGTTATTAAACTATATTGCATGCAGTTTGTTGTTTCACTGCTATAACAGCAGCATCTAGTTACACTTTTTAAAATAAAACTTTCATATTAGTGTGGAAATGATGTATTAGTTGTTTTTTTTTCTGAACCCAGAACAGAATATCAACACTGCATACTTAAGTACTTGTCATATCGTTGTCGCAATATTGAGCACTGTTTTCCCTAAATGACAGAACTGTTTCGATGTCAGACTGTCGTCACCTACAGTGTTTCATAGAAAAGGCAGTGTTTGCAACAGATGTGGATTTTTATCCCAAGAAAAAAGAAAACAAAGATGAGATGAAGTATAACTTGTGTAGAAAATAGGTCAGTTTTGATCTGCAAGGTAATATAAATGAATATGTACACATCGTAAATCTATATTTNGTTAAACAGAGAATCATCTTTGCTTTAATATGGGGCAAACAAATGTTCTGTAAACAGTGAATCTCACAGAAACACCCAGCCTGCGCGCGCAGTGACGTGCTCCTGTCACAGCAGTCTCTCATCAGGAGGAGATATCATGTCAGGACTGACCGCAGCAGCCGCTGTTTCAACCAAACCTGCTCTCACTGAAAGTCCCGCCCTGCTCTGCTCTGATTGGATAAAACGGCTCTGGGCTTCGTCTGATTTGTTGAAGGCAGTGTCCATTTAATCCTTATATCAGGGTCTCGCTTCAGTCACACCAGTGCGGCTGGATTTTTTAAAAATATATATTTTTTAAAAAATCAGGTCGCATTTGCGACCAAACTGGTCGCACTCTAGAGCCCTGCTAGCTTTTGTTTTGACAGACAATCGGGTACAATCTTAGGTACGCAAGTGAGCTTTACGACGTTGCATCTGGTACGCTTTTTCCTTTTTTGACCGCGCATGTGCACCTGTGCATGCTTATGTGCAACTCTGTTTATAAACTATATTTTCAACCCATCTGACCTAATATTTTTTTACATCAGCATGTTTGTGTAAATATGTATCTAGTTCGCCAAGTTGCTCCACCCTGTCTCTCTACATGGTGCTAATGGTTCCCATGCTCCTGAAATGATCAGATCATTCTTGCAACATTAACCCTTAGATTCACTCTCTACCAAGGAAGAAAAAAAGAAAAAAAATGTGTAGGAGTGACATTTTTACTTCTACCACCACGAGCAGAAATATAATACGAAAACATCAAACGATGCATTTAGTATCAAAACTGTATTCAGCTGTCACTCAGAACATCCGTCTTGGATTTGGAGCTTCCATCACACTGGTGAGTTTATGGTGACTGTGCTTCTGTGTGAAGCTTTTTCTCATTAAAAGTGGAGCCTTATATGCAGACAGGCAGGAGATAAGGGTTTGGATCATTTTTTGTTTTACTGTTGATCCAGAAACTGGGGGGAGATCTGATGTTAAGAAACTTTGCTTCAGCACATTCCATATAAAGTGTGGTTTGTGTGAGCAGTTCGTGACGACTGATCGACTGCTTATCTACAGTCTGAAGATATTCAGCCTTCTCAGGACCGACTTCCTTCCTTCCTTCCTTCCTTCCTTCCTTCCTTCCTTCCTTCCTTC